CACAATTAAACAATTTCTAATTTTGGTGATCCAAAACATTGGCATTGATGTTTCAAATCATTTTTGTACAGCATGGTGTATAAATACTGTACACACACACACAGTGTATTATATAATATGATATTATATATCATAAATGTAGTTTGTTGTCTATATCCTGTTGAGCATGAACTTTGAGCCAGTGTTGTTTGATAACGCCACTGAAAAGTTAAAACAGGTTTCGTTTATCATTGTGTTGTTGTGCATTATAGAAATACACCGGTATTAAAAGGAAGGACAGCTGCACACAAGTACCGACTGAATGAATGCTGTCTGTGTGTGTGTGTGTGTGTGTGTGTGTGTGTGTGTGTGTGTGTGTGTGTGTGTGTGTGTGTGTGTGTGTGTGTGTGTGTGTGTGTGTGTGTGTGTGTGTGTGTGTGTGTATGTGTGTGTGTGTGTGTTCTCACGTGCAGTCTGCCGCGCAGCTCTCTGTCGTTCCTCATCTTCACATAGATTCTCTCGTCCAGACTCAACCGGATCAGATCCAAAGGCTCTTCTACAGTGTTGGTAGTTTGTTGCTGCAAATTAAATTTCAGTAATATATATATATAGGCTTTATTATTGTAATGGATGACCATATGAGCAACCGTCTGAGACCTGCTGAATATTTAAACTGCCTCGACGTACTCGTGTGTTCAGAGAGACATGAATGAAAACACCAGATATGTTTCAGCTCCGCTATTATCAAACAATTAAAAACATTCTTGTAAATGCAACAAAATATCATACCTGCTCAGCGTCGTCCGCCATCTTTCAAAGTTACCCAAAATGCTTTTCGTTTGTCTCCCAAAATCATTGGGCGGCAAATGTATGTGTTTCCTGTTAAACCAAAGCGTTCCTCCAGAGGGCGCGCGAAGGCCCAGCAAACTGAGTCCGCCTTTGAGTCGCATTCAAATCTTACAACAGTTTGTGTCTTATGTGAGAAGTGTGTATAAAACCTACTATAACATTTTAAATGTATTCGTTCTAACTACTGTTAGCTGACATATAAATGAACATTTGCTAAACCAATCTCTCTAAAAACACTTTTTAAAAATACGTGTTCAGTAACCTCAAACGTCTGTGATTGGTCCATTCTGGCTAGCGTAGAGAAAAGTAACAGGTAACACATAGTAAGGCCGTTTACCGTTACATGTGCCCTGATAATGTCACAGAGAAAAGTTAAAATGTATTTTTCAGAATCTAAATATTAAGTGGATCTTTTACCCATGTACTACATGGTTTAGTTTATGCCATTCTCACAAAAGATACTGTGCTCTTATAATGTCCACAGGATGGAGGCAGGAGACACGTTTCAACCTTCTTTGGTGGTATAAATTCTTGAGGCTTGCAATTATTAATTAAGCAATCAAATGTTTTATAAACAAATCGAGTAATTTACATTTCAGACAAAAATTAGCTGCTTGTATAACCTACTTCTATAGCCTATTACATAGGCTTGGTCAATAGAAATTGAGGGGCCATTCTAAAATGCTTAACATGGGGAAAAAAACTTTGCTTAATGTTGGCTACTGACAGTGATATTAAAAGACTAAATTCAGTATTAATAAACACCTTATTAATAAACCATACAATGTAGGTCTAAAGAAAAGCAGATGAGCCCATGACCGCAACACGTTTAATTTGTTTTCCTCCAATAGAAAACATAGAATGTCCCAAATCGGGGTGCTTGACTAGGTCTGTGTTTGTGTGTGTGTGTGTGTGTGTAAACTGGTTAAATCGTGCTATCGGAAATTTCCTACTTCCCACTTCTGAAGTCGAAACTAGCTAAACGATAATTCCAATAGCAAATGAAAGCAGCACAATTGTGAATATATAGCCTATAGCATACATGTAGCCTAAAGCCCTTTGCTCTCAATCCACAACACATTTTAAACAATTTAACACATAGGCCTACTCATTTTCTTTTAAGAAATCTGTGAGAACATGGTGTACAAATGATTTAAAAATAAGAAATCTTGTTTACACCCCCTCTTTTGAAGTAGGTGAGACTTTGTGGTTCTTTTTCTTGTGAGGCGCAAGACCAGTGGAACATTTTACAAGAACATTTCTAAACACATTGCAGGCCTACCTCACATGAGGTAAACTTTAGAGGCGCTAAAACCACGTGTGCGTGCAGTTAGTGACCAAACTGCAAAAAATTTCTGAGGTTGTTTACCCAGTGTTTTTTATTCATTCAAAAAGATGATTGTAACACAAAGATGATTGTAAAATAACACTCAGGTTCCTAAAAATAAATAATGCATATGGTCCACTTTGATTTCAAAGTACAAAAATAAGTAAGTTAAATGGTTCACCCAATATCAACATTTTTGTCATGTTGTTTCAAACATATATGCCTTTTTTTCTGCTCTGGAAAACAAAATGAGATTTTAGCATATCTGCTCAGTTTTTTATAAAAGAATCACAAATAAAAATCACAAATAAAGTACCATAAACTGTGTGGGCTATATTTATAGTCTTCTGAAGCCGCTATCTTGATGAACAGAGTGAATGAAGTTCCCCTGTCAAATCTAACGCTTGAGAACTGTCAATTTGTTTAAGATTCATTTGAGTTTAGAACGACATTTCGACATTTTATTTCAGAAGTAAACCATGTAGTTTGTTTTGTAACAGCTTTATTGAATAAATACAACAGCATGTTGTGTGTATAGACATGCTTTGTGTGCCAACACACACACACACACACAGTAGATATATTATGAAACGGATAATATAGTCAATCTGGCTGCTCATTACAAGACTACTTACCAAATAAATACATATTGAAGTGAAATGAGTTTATTATGCGAGTATAGAGGACTCCAGAGTAGAGAGACATGAAACTATCACTGGAATTCAGTTGGACATTATCTGAACAATGAATATCCCTCAAGACAGTTTGCAAGTTATCACAAATATCAAACAAATATATCAAACAAAACATTTCTAAAGAAAACTGTGCATTTTGAGGTTCAAATCTAAATCAACATTACAGCATTGAACAGTAGGCTATTTCTGGCAATGTAATTGTCCATTCCACAAACTAAATGACAAAATGACAAGTAATTACTAATTACAAATATTGTTAACTATTACATCCAAGATGAGCAAGTATTAACCATAACTTACAATTCACTTAAACATTCTTATTTTAAATGAAACAGTCCCTTGCACAACACTTGGGGTCAAAAATAGCGAGCTAAATATGCGGATTAAAGCAACACCAAGCAACTTTTCCTCAGCGGTCGCCCTACAGGTTGGAAGCGGAATTGTCCATAACCGCTGTCGTAAATAATTTAGCCTTCCCCATCCTACAGTCGCACGCGCACGCACACGCTCTCTGTTTATCCGGCACCGGCTTTGGAATCAACAATGGCCACAGACAAGGTAGAGTATGATGCATGATTTTATGAAAGTGTAGTTGTAATACTGTTGAGTACGCTGCACCTATCGGCAATTGTAACGCTTGACGTAAAGCAAGTCAAATTTGTAGTTTTCTTTTGTCTCATTCGTACTACAGAAACGCGACCCTTACATAGCGTGTGGTTATATCAGATAAAGGACCGCAAAGCGGTGGCATAAGTTCATTTCACCATGTCACGACTTGATGAACCACTGAAACGATTTTGAAAACATTATTTTAAGGTAAAAATTCTTACTTAGTGTTGCTTTAAAGAGACATATAGTTATGCAATATGTGATACTTTTTCACAAACAGTGAGAAATGAAAGTAAATGGTGTCAGATTTGATGTGTTCTTGATTCTGGCAGCTGTAGAAGCGCATATGTGCTGTTTATTTGCCTGGGCTGAAACCTTTTACATGGTGTGGAAATAACTCCTGTAGCGTACTGAAAAAGCAACAACCAATACAGTTAATCTCAATTCAGATGTGTTACAGTTTTCTGTAACACGTAATACAAATAATTCTGAACTGCCAGAAGCTTTAACTATTAAAAATAAAGATTCTTTATCGGCATTGATGGTTCTATAAAGAATCTTTAACATCCATGGAATCTTTCCATTCCATAAAAGGTTCTTAAAAGTGGGAAAAGATTCTTTAGATTATTATAATGTTCTTCATACACTACAATAACATGATTATTTTAAGAACGGTACACTGAAAGGTTCTTTGGGCAAACCAAAATGGTTCTTCAATGGCATCACTGTGAAAACCCCATTATGAAACCTTTATTTTTAAGATTGTACAACTGGTACTTCAAACGTGAAAGGTGCATATTAGAATCCATAAAGGCATACACTTGAAAACACAAGATGTGATAACAGGAATAGTCCACCCAGCAAATAAATCAAATGAAAATGAAATGAACTGTTTTCCCCTTACAGTAAAACCTGGGTCCAGTGTTGTCTTGGACCCCATTGACTTTCATTGTATACAAAAACAGTTCTTCTCCAAAAATGTCTTCTTTAGTGTTTTACAGAATGAATAAATAAATACAGGTTTGGAATGACATGAACTATACTTTTAAAAGGTGCATATTAGTATCTTAACTCATTTTGATGGCATTAATCATAGTTGCTTTACCTGCACTTGACTTGAGTCTTGTGGTGGATCAGGATCCATAACTTGAGGTTGTTGTAGGTTTGTATCTTGAGGTTGTTTTAAGTTGTCTCTGGTTCTCTTGCTTCCAAGAACAAACATCTTCACTAGGCCTTAAAGTGATAGTCAGGTTAAACATTAAGTCTTCCCATCTTTACAGAAAGAACAACACAATCCTATCAAAGAGCTCACCTATGATCACTATGATCAGAACAGCGTTCAACAGAGCAGATATGAGGCTAATAATCTGCCAATGTGTCTGATTCCTCTCAATGTTCTTCACCGCTGTATGATTCTGGATCTCTGCAGCTGGAATCGGTACTGTGTATTCATTGAAGGGGTTTAATATTAATATCTCATATGTATTTGTCTAAGAGTGATTAAGTGTTTAGCTTGATGATCACTGAATGTTCACTCACCGCTGATGTGTATTCTGGTGCCGTCGCTGTATTTTGGAGGAGCGTCTTTGGTCACACAGTAATAAAGTCCTAAATCATCAATAGTGACATTATTTATGAACAGGCGATGATTACTTTGCACTGAATATTTCTGCCTAAAAGCTTTACTGTAGTAAAAAGTTGCTGAAGTTGTGGAAGAGAGTAATATGACAACCGGAGAATCTGGAAGTTTCAGCAAAAACCAATAAACCTCCGTTACACCAAAATCACAGTTTATAGACACATTTTGACCCAAATCTGTTAGTTGATCAGTTAAAGTCTCCGCAGCTTCACACCATATGAGCAGATCTGTGAAATAAACACCACACACACACCTTTAACATGATTGTGTCATCAAAACATATGTAAATGCTTTAGTTGATACACAGCAGATAGCCTACAAATTATTAACGCAGTAAACTCACAGAGAAGAAGCTGCACGGTCTTCATGATGTTAACACACTTCAGCGTGATGCAGTCTAGATTTATGCTGTGTTTGAGATGAAGCTTTACCCCAGAGCTTTCAATGGGGAAATTTCAGCCACATCAAGAGGAAGTAGAAGTCATGTTTGCACTGACCACATTTTGTAGATTATTCCATGGTGCATTGCCTAAACTTTACACTATTCATATATAATTGCAATCAAACTAGCTTTCCGTGTGCAATTAACTATTTTATTGTTGTACGTTAGTTATATCAATCGTTCTCAACAGGTTTTACTTCAGAACCGAGACTTTACATTGGACATCTACAGTGGCAACCCAACACTGACAGTTTTTTGTATAGATAAGTAAATAAAATCAAACATTGAAATTTGTTTATATGAATGCACAGATTCACAAATATGCAAAATTGTTAACATGACAAAAGCTGAATAAAGTAAAAGTGAATTTTTTGTTTGGTTTCTACATGTTTCTTGAATGTAGGTGGTTTATTGCTGTCTGCATCCGATACACCACTAGCTCATTGTGGTCAACTCAAACCTTGTTTATTCTCATTGCAGGTGAATGTAGGTCTTTTTTTTTTTTTAACTCACTTTGTATATAGTTCATGGATCAGATCAGATGAACATAAGATCAGATGTTCACCCGCAATTCGCGATTCTTTAAGAGAACTAAGATTGTTCTTTTTTTAAAGGAGACACTCAGAAGATTATAAAAATTGACACACTCAGAAGTGTAAAAATTATATAAGTTTACATTAAATAATAATAAAATCAAATCCATATTTCTAACCAAGTTGTGTTCCAAATTAAACTAAAGTCGAACTAAAGGTTCTAGTGAGATTGTGTATAGCCGCCGGTTGACACTGAAACATTTCTGATGCATTCTCTTATCACAAATAAATACCCTACATTTCTGTCACAATATCACTTCTATCACAAAACACTGGCCAAATATGGAGCCTTGAGTCCCAGAGCTTTCCAACAATATGAGTTTTGTCAAGATTAGAAAAAGGTTTGATTATAAAATCGTGCTAGCCTGACGTCGTCACACTCAGATTCTAGTCAGAATGTGAGTCTGATATTGCTCCATTGGGCTGTGATTATGGGCCGTGTTTCAACCATAGACCGTAAAAGAAATGGACACAGCGACCCCATAGACTTCAACAGAGAAAAGTGAAGTCAATTAGAAGCACTCACTTCCTGATGGCCGAGCGACTGCGCAGGCTCAAACTGAGCTTGACGACGTAGATGTGACGTGAGCAACCTGACTGACAGTTGTACGTCTACTAGCTGTGCCAAGCAGAATCTGAATATTTCCCTTCCGAATCTTGCAGAGCCGGAGAGCGTGAGTATTAGCTGTCCATGAGCAGGATCAACTTTACGACTCTCTATGGGCTTCTCCCTTGACTTTATGCCTCCACATCCCCCCGATTGCGAGCGAGCTTCTACTTGTGTCTATAAGGTAATTTCTCTACTGTGCGACAGAGAGTCGCGTGTTGACGCAATCGTTAGCCTATTTTTACAAAAACGGCTTCTACGGGGCCATAACAAAAGATACAAGTTAATGGAGCCTTTTATACATTGTTGTGTTTCTTTAGAAATAAATAATGGACAAATGGAGTCTTTAAACGCTTCAGATGTAAAGTTATTCGCTGTCAAAGTGACGCCAAAATGAATGGGAGTCAATGGGATGCTAACAGCAGGAGAAGGCTTGCTAGCCAATGGCGGCCCCCGGGATGCTTCAGTTTCCGGCTGGTGGATTACCCCCTTGGTTTCAACCGAACCAGTAAAGAAAATGCCTCTGCACTCATTTGGATAGAACAGACCTACAACCAATCAGAGCAAATGCCTTGATCGCAGTTCTCTGTTCTTCTTTTATGAATGCACTGTCGATATCTTCTAAAACACGATGGCTGAATCTACACATCTCAATTCTCCAGCGGCATCCATCAAGCGCTTTGGTGACGTGGATAGTTATGTTACTGTGGATATCATCTGTCCATCTTCGTATAAAGCCCGCCTGTCACAGTGTCTGGTTTGTGTTTCCCTGGGTTTCCACCAGACGTCCTTTTCCACCACGGTGTCCTTCACTCAGACTACATTTCCCATCATCCTGTTTGTCACTCATTGATTATTGCACACAGCTGTTTCCCGTCACCTTGTTAGTATCTGTGTATATATACTCTGTTTGTTTCTGTGATTGTCGTCGAGTCCTTGTTTTATGTCAACTGCACTTTGGAGTTCTTGTCTGGTTTGTTTCTTGTTTTTGGACTGTGTTGTATGGATTTTGACCCTTTGCCTGGCTGACGAGGATTAATTTTTAACGTATTAGCTTCGAAATGATACCTAATTTATGATAATAACTAAAATATGTGATAGAGGAAATGGGCAAGTGTAAACACTCTGATGCTATAGGAGTTATTATAGGTGATAACTTAGATTTTATGCCTTAAAAATGTTGCAGACCCCTGGTTAACACTATAAATAAGTTATTAATAATGGCCTCCAGAGGGTGACAAAGCTTTGATAAGAAAAACTTGCATTTACATTTGGCAGATGCTTTTATCCAAAGCGACTTACATTGCATTTCAAGGTACACATTTACATGCTCATCAGTTCTTGCTTTCCCTGGGAATGGAACCCATGACCTTGACGTTGCAAGCGCTAATGCTCTACTGTTTGAGCTACAGGAAATTTTAGATGATAATAAAAAATACTAATAACAAAAATAAAAAAAGAATATTAATAACAATAACACTACTGTTTATTGATTCAATTAAAGTGTTTATTCCAGGAAATTAAAATAATCATAAATAGATTCATGTTTAATCAACAATTAGTCATCTGCAGCAAAAACGGAGGCCCACAAAAATCATTTGTGCAAAAATATTGGTATGTTAAGATTATAAAATGGCAAGATTCTCAAAATTCAAAACAAACAATACATTGCAATCATTTAGTCCTGTGTGTAGCAAAATCAAAAGTCCTGTGCAATGCCTGCAGTACATGCATTGCAATTCATTTTAAATGTGCAATCATTTAGTCATGTGTAGCAAAATAAAAACTATATACTTATAAACTGTAAAATAGCCTAGCTAAAGATTCTCTTCACAAAAAAAACAAAATTCATACATTGCAATTCATTTAAATAAGCAATCAATCAGTCCTGTGCAGCAAAAATGGAAGACACGTGAAAACGGTATACTTGAATTTTGTGTACCAGGCAGTGTTTTCACACCAAGTTAAAGATAAAAAAAAATAGCTAAAGGATCTCTTCACAAAAAAGGTCAAATTTACATATATTGCTCAATGCACTTAATGTGCCACCTTTGAAATGCATAAAACTGTGTAAATACATCTATATTCCATGTCAGATACAGATTTCATCAGACAGCCTATAGTATCTTACTGTAGGCTTATTCACAATAATTAGCGCACAGCAACATTGTAGGGCACGTCCAGTTGGGAAGAGGAGGCGTTGGCCTTACAGCAAGTAAGCCAACTTGGCTAAGAACTCAACTTCAGAGAGAAGGAAAATGGTGGTCGAGGAGGTGCACCGTCAGGAGGAGGCGGAAAGAAGCGCAAAGGCTGTCTCTCTTGTCAAGCAGGGACAATGGATGAGGTGGGAAGGTCTGGAGAGGAGAAAGCTCAGCTGGAGGGAGCTCTGGGAAATAGAGGCAAGCTACATCAGCTTCATCATTAGAGCCACCTATGCTCCAATCTCCAAAGAACCTCTGAAAAGGCATTTGTTACTATATAATTCATGCGGTGTCCTGTATCTTAACTTGAGAAGAATCCAGAACCCCTTTTACATTTAATAGAAAATATTAAGAACCACTTATATAACGTACAAATTTATAAAACATTTGGTAGATTTACAATGCTAATAACCATGCAAATGCGTCATTACAGTCTGTAAATATCTCTTAAGAACACAATGCAATCACTAGTAAGACTTCCTGTTAGAACTCTGATAGAAAGTCAGAGTTAGTACTGGAGTTAGTAAAGTCAGAGTAAGTACTGGAGTTAGTAAAGTCAGAGTAAGTACTGGAGTTAGTAAAGTCAGAGTAAGTACTGGAGTTAGTAAAGTCAGAGTTAGTAAAGTCAGAGTTAGTACTGGCTGCAGATAAAGTCCTAATTGTTGGTGATTTTAATATACATGTAGATAACGAAAAAGATGCATTGGGATTGGCATTTAAAGACATTCTTAACTCTATTGGAGTTAGACAACACGTGTCAGGACCTACTCATAATCATACTCTAGATCTAAGATTATCACATGGAATAAATGTTGATGCGGTTGAAATTCTGCAGCAGAGTGATGACATCTCAGATCATTCTCTAGTCTCATGTAAACTTGATTTGGCTGCAAAGCCGACTCAGTGTTACAAATATGTTAGACCTATCACTTCTGCCACTAAAGATTGCTTTATCAATAATCTTCCTGATCAGTTTCATCATCTCAGCATCCCAGAGAGTTTAGAACTCCTCGATATTGCGATAGAAACTTTTAACTCTCTCTTTTCCAGCACTTTACACAGTTGCTCCGTTGCGCTTAAAGAAGATTAAAGGAAATAGTCCAACGCCGTGGTACAACGAGTACACTCGGGCCCTTAAGAGAGCAGCCAGAAAAATGGAGCGAAACTGGAAGAAAACAATACTAGAGGTATTTCGCATTTCATAGAAAGAGAGCACGATTGCATACAGAGAGGCCTTAAAAGATGCTAGATCTGCTTATTTTTTAACCCTATAAGAAGATTTTCACGGGTTTCCTCACGTGTGAAGTTAATGCGTTCATCACATCAAGGCTTGATTATTGTAATGCTCTACTGGGTGGTTGCCCTGCACGCTTAATACATTACAGCTGGTTCAAAATGCAGCCGCTAGAGTTCTTACCAGAACCAGGAAGTATGACCATATTAGCCCAGTCCTGTCAACCAGTCCTGGTCCGCTGGATCCAGGCCGTATCCAGATCTGATGAAGGACCATCGCCTGGACACGACAACAACACAGTCCTGAAGTGTCAACTAGTTGCTTTCCTGTAAAGGCCTCCCTCCCTTTACCTCTGCGTCTGTACAGATAAAAACATTGTCGAGATAATTCCGGTTCGCGTGGTTACGCAGACGCGAATCATTTCTGTATTTTAAATTTTTAAGACCAGACAAATAGTTTGTTGTGGGTTGATTTGTGAAGGACTGCACGCCTGCGCACATATGTATTCAAACTGAACATGTGATGCGCATGTGGGTTTGCGTTTGAGGTTTGCGCAGAGATAACGGATAATCATTTGCACCTTCGAACCCATTTTAGGGAGTGCATTCTTGAGACACCTGGCACTGTTTTGTGCGGATGGGCGGCCGGAGCGTGTTAAGGGTTTTCTGTTAGAACGGTGTTGTGTTAGCGGCCCCTAAGGTAATAAATAATGATCTTCGCAAATGAAAGTGAATCAAACTAACTTTAGCTGGACATTAACTTTATCCTAATGCTGCAAACAGGGCCGGAGTGGGACTAATTTTCAGCCCTGAAGTTTCATACCTTAGACCGGCCCACTTTAGTTCCCGACCGACTATATTAAAATAATGTAATTAAACCCTCAGTATATAAGTCTGCAGTAGTGGACTGTTCTGTACAGCCTTGTAATTCATTGTATTTTTTCAAAAATATAATTTTCTATTCAGTGCAATAGCCGCGTTTTATAAATACAAAGGTCCCAAAAGTTATCTGGGTTCGGGGGCATATTATTTTTCCACTGTCATTGGCAAAGAACATGTATATCTGTGTTAAATAGGAATCCATTGTAATAAAGTTATTCTCCTTCTGGGCACAGTATGCAACAGGCTATTGCTCTTCCTGCTCTCCTCTCTCATCTCCATCTCCTTCTCTCATTCTTCTTCTCTCAGTCTCTTTATTTTTAGGTTATGTAAATCTCCCCTTCCCGAAGCTGAGCTTTGATTGATACAGTCTTTGCAAACTGATTATTTATGTCGGTCGTTTAAAACTTCTATCGTAAAACAGCTGTTTAGTTTAGCCACTTGCATCTTATCTCGTGAAGCGTCGCGTTGGGATTCGCTCGCGCTTCTGTGAACATAAATCCCGCTTGCTTTGATAGGTCATCTCAAACATTTTGCCATTGCCGACGAGCGGTGTTGAGTAGCTACTGAAGCAGCTCAGATTATGAGGTCGGTTATCGTCGCAATATGCGAATCATTGCAGCACCAAATTAGAGTATTAGGTAATCTAGAGATTTTTTATTATTCTGGCCTTTTCAGCGCCGCCTTTGCGCCTATTATCCATGCTTTGTATCTCTTATTTTTTGTTCGCACATCTCTAACAACTGACTTTTTTTTTGTGGGGCTGCGAGAAAATTATAATAAAAAAAAAAAGTGGGGCTGCGCTGAGACTGGAGCATTCAACCCAGTGCCATGACAACACCGGCCCTCCTGGCCAATAAAACAGACCGGCCCACCGGGAATTCTCCCAGGGCTCCCGATTAGCCAATCCGGGCCTGGCTGCAAAGCCTAAACATCTGTTATGGCAATTTCTACTATAACTGCAAAGCTGCTTTGAAACAATCCATACTGTTAAAAGCGCTTTATAAATGAACGTGACTTGACTTGCCTTTTAAATATCTCTTAACTCAATGCAATCACTAGTAAGACTTCCTGTTAAACAAATTATGTGATGTCTCAAGTCAAGTGAATTATGGGTCATTGGACAGGCGTCCAATCACAGCTGACTTCCGGAAAAGGGGAAGTAACCAATGAGATTTGTGGTTTTTAAAACAGTAAGTCCCGCCCCTTGACCGCCAAAAATAAAAGTGTTCGAGCGAGCACAAGCAGGAGGTAAGAGAAGATCAAGCGCGAGAGCGTGGGGAATGATCTTGCGCGCACGCTAGGGCTTGTATTGCGTGCAGAGGAGATGCCATGTTCCCGTTTCCTCGCGTGTAGATCTGTTATCCTCTCGCGGAAGTCATTTACCGCGCACGCCAGCATCAGTTGTGCACTCGGTTCTTTTAGGCATTGATTTGTCGCCATACTCAGTACTCAATACTCATTCACGTTTCCTAATTTTGCATGCGCAACATGTGACAATTCAAAAGTTTAAAAATATTACACATATTCCAAAGATGCTGCTCTTGATACTGATTAACACGATTTAGCCTAAATCATCAATTGGAATTATTCGGGATTAAATCAAACTAAAAGTGCATCATGTCAGCGCAGCTAGTAAGACACACTTCTCATGCCATACATTGTAGATAGGCCTACGTAAACATGAAGCTAATTGCATTTAATGTATCTTCCAAAAACAACGTTGACAGCAACCGAAACAAACCTTTCCATAAGAGTTGATATTATAAATTGAGTTCCAAGGGCATTTAAAAAAAAACATTATTAAATATATGTATCATCATAAGTTCTTAATTTTAATGATCGATTCAGGGAGAATAAGGCATTACTTTTAGGGCTCCTATACAGTAAAATAAAATCCGTATCAACAAAATGCATCTTCGCACTGCAGATGTGGGACGTGCAGAAGCGGACTCTGAATGGCATATTATTGACACACTGTTTAATGCAAAGGAGCCATAGGTGCATTAACATTATCATTTTATGACAATAATGTTTTAAATATAACAGTTACTCGTATAAAGAGAAAAATACGTCCCATCTCATTAGGATGTCGTTACCTTGACAAAATTAGCCTACCACGTGGCCATGACTTATTATATCACGTTCCCACGAGTTAATATGAAGTTATGACAAAAGTAAGTGAACCGAACATGGATAACGAATCACGAATCGGCTGAATAAACGATTGATTAAACTCACTTAAGACAGCGACTTAGACAGTATCTGTCTGACTGTCTGTAGTAGGCCTATCTGTTTTAGTTTAATATTTAAACGTATAATTTTTGTTTCCATCAATTTCATATTTCTATATTCAAAATGTTAGGCTATATTAACCTCATTAAATTATTTATGCAGTGTTGGATCTTTGGAACATTTCTCTTCTATCTCTCCGAAATTTCCCTCAATAAAATGCGTATTGTCCGTATTTCCCATTTTTTTAATAGTCTGGACTTAAAAATGCGAAAGAAAAATAGGTACGTAAACCTCGTGAACCGGAACATATTTTAGGGTCATTCTGTGATGTTGATCATAGCTCCTCCTCAAGGGGATCCTCCGAGAAGAGATAAAATGCGTGGCGGCAGCCGAAGGAGTAAGAGAGAATCTGAATGGAAGTCAATGGAGGATTTGCATCAGTACGCGGAATAAACTACTTTTCTGTGGTCACGTAAAAAAAATAATCCTTGTCCGCCAGTCTTTAACATATTTGCTATTAAATATCGACTTTCGAGAAAAAAAAATATTTTGAGATTACTACGAAAAATAACCTTTATGAGAAAAGTCAGGGACTATTTTGCGACAAGTTTGAATTATTTTACGGCACTACCCATGCACTTCTATGCGATCTGAAACGTACTTACTAGCTGTCGTAAAACTGAAAGTATTAGTTAACCGTTACACGCTTTCATTCGTGTTGAACATCTCCTCATTGATGCTGAACACTTCACAATCACATCGTGTTTCGTCTTTATAGCCATTTTTTTATATAAATTCTCCAGAAAATAAGAAACCGTTTAAACATTAGATATTTGTTATTTAACCTTTTAAGTCATGGTAATCAGGTATGTGAACTGATTTATTTTCATGTCACAGTGCATAACGTTACAGATAATACATGGTACTTGTGCTAAAGCTTAGGCTAAATGCTAACTGCTAGCTAGAGTAAAGGGGGAAAGTACTGAAATGTTTTAGTTTTCTGATATGTTCGAAGACTTGACTCCACCCAGACTGCTGTAAGTTAGGTGTTGGAGAGTAACGCCACTAGCATGTTTGAACTGTACAACTGTTTCTAAACACAGATACTGTAACTATAAGACTATGTCCATATTGATGTGTATAAGTGTATAAGAACTTTTGTTTTGAAACTCTGCTCGTCTACTCTAGCACAATGCTATTTCTAGCATTTTCCGAGTTGCTTCCCCACACAGAAACATCTGAAAATGCTAAATTTACCTTATTGCGAATATGTTAAACATCATAAAAGCTCACTGAGAAAAATATTCTACTTTATCCTGATTGATGTGGATGAAGAAGTTATCTTGGCATAAACAAACATATGTCGTTTCTGACATTCTGGGCCCAGTTGCAACAAACCCCTCATGTTAAGAAAGCCTTTAGTTGTAGCTGAACTTTAGGAGTTTCTTGCAAACAGATCACCTATGCAAATACCCTAGCGCAGACGTTAGCCAATCACATTTATGCAACACCGGAAAAGTAATGTTAAGCGTTACGCAGCATCACACGGGGCATCAGCGTTTGAAGCTTGGTGCTGACACAACTATCATAGTGACAACAACAGCCAATCACATTACTTTTCCGGTGTTGCATGAATGCAATTGGCTAACGTCTGCGCACAACTCATAGATTGGCTGATACCTGCATTGACACTTGAAAGGTAGAAAAGATTTCAACTTCAGCCGCGAACAACGCCAGTGAACGACGAAACGGAAACCACAATTCAGATCGCCAACGCATGACATCACCCATTGAAAGTAAACGAGAAGCGTTATCGCCTACGAATGTATGAATGCAGCGTAATAGCGGAAGGGGAATGGAGAAGGGGCAGATGCATTTGACTGATATTTTCTGTACATTTGACGTCAAACAACAGACTGGGCCATCTGACCAATCAGAGCAGAGTAGGGTCACATAAAGGAGGGATTTAGAGAGACTGAATCCTTTATCAAACCGTTTCAGAGATTGAGAAAAGAGGTGTCAGTGTCATTCTGTTTACCGTGGAAGCTTCTGTCACCAAAACAAATTCCTCGAATGTGCAAACATACCTGGCAATATAACTTTCTGATTCTGATTACAATAATGCACTAACCAAACAATGGACTTAAACGGTTTAACAGCATGAATGTGATGTTATTTTTACATTGCTAAAAGTAAATATTTCAATTCTTTCTGCGTTTACAGGTGCTGTATTGTTTTAGTTCCTCTGTTCATGGTGATTACTGAAGGTGAGCACTAAAGATCTACAGGGCCAATGACATGTAAAAGTGTCCATGATAACGAAAAGTTAACATCTTTAAACTATCGAGTTTAAAACACAAGCATTAATTCATGTTTTTGCATTAAAACCATGTTTGTTTATTATTGTACAGTAACTTCTCTCTGTTTTCAGCGTCACTGGTCACTGTTAAGGGTTTAATCGGAGGTTCTGTCGTTTTACCGTGTTCTTCTGAAGAACCTCAGCTTACAGTTCAAGACATCACAGTGAATTGGAAATATCATGATAGACTGAAAGTGCTTGACATTATTAAGGGCAAAGGCTCTGGACAAGGACAGGATCAATCATTCAAGAACAGAACTGAAACCTTCCCTGAAGAGTATACGAAAGGAAACTTCTCACTCAAACTCAAAAATCTTCAGCACAGTGACAGAGGAAAGTACCAGTGCTACATCACAGAGGAATCAGTCATCAGGACTGTGGAGCTTTTCATCGAAGGTTTGTGGTATTTTTTTAGCTGCACAATTTCGATGGTCCATTTTAGACATTCTATTCACTAGAAGTAACTTACTTGTACTTATATTCTCATCTAACTTACTCTCATTACAGTATTAGTAGACTGTAGTAGTCGGTTAGGTTAGAGTTTGGTGTTAGAGTTCAAGTTAGTTGAATAAGTTGACATGTCCTGTAGATGCAACGTTACTTCTTGTCAGTAATGTATTTTTTCCTTATTTTTATTTGTCACATGTGCAAAGTTCTTAGAAATGTATTTTTTCCTAGTCATGTTGGTTTTCAAAAACTTTTATACAATCATACAAAAAAGTAATAATGTGTAACAATCAAGTAAATATAACAGTGTATATAACTATATATATTTTTATATGTTTTCAAGTTAAAATAATTTTTTACATGTCATGAATGAGTAATTCAGTAGGTTTTTTGAAACGTCACACAACACAACATTTTACAACCTGAACTAACCTTGCCTTGCTATAAAAGTCAAAATAGCCAATATTTGTGTAGGGATCTTCTCTATGATGTCATTTCTTGTTTTATTTTCCCTGCATGTTTCACTGCATGATATTAATTTGGTGGACAACATTTTTTTAAAATATTAAGCAATGAAACAGTTTGGTCCAGTTTGGACATTTCTTTTGTTTCAGAAATGTAAAACCACCAGCAGAGGTGTATTCAGTTAATTATAAACTGCATTTTAGATGTGGTTTTGGTTTGGGTTTCTGAATTTGAATATGTTTGGTTGCGCAATGGATTGATATCTCCATTAAATGAAAGTGTAAAGATGCCATTCAGTCAACAGTCATTGATTGAGCAATTTTTTTTAATTATAACTAATCTCTGTTTTCAGTGCCTGTGCGGGACCCAGTTGTGGGATTTATTGGAGGTTCTGCTGTTTTACCCTGTTCTGCTAAAGAACGCCAACTTACGACTGAAGACATCACAGTCAGTTGGAGACACAATAAGACCCTGGAAGTGTTTGACATTATTAAGGGTAAAGTCTCAGTGGAAGAACAGGATTCAGTATTCAAGAACAGAACCGAAACCTTCCCTCAGGAGTATCTGAAAGGAAACTTCTCACTCAAACTCAACAATCTTCAACTCAATGATACGGGAATCTACAAATGCTACATCAGGAATGAATTACTAATTCACAGTGTGAAACTAGGTTTGTGAAAAAGACGTTAGATTCATTTAAACTAATAACGTTAAGATGATTTTAATTGAGAATGAGAGTTTTTGAGACCTCTTTTAAAACACAATGAAATGTTTTCATCTGTTTTTACTGAACCTAATGCAATTGTCTTTGTGTCCACCAGAAATAAACCAAGGAGCTCAATCGAGACCAGAGAAGATTTTACTTGTAGTGCCTTTTCTCTCGGTTTCCATTCTGCTCTTTATGTGAGTATTGGCAGAAGGAACTACAGTATAGCAGTGTTTTATTTTCTTCTTCAACAACCTGAGATCGCCACATCTTCTGAGAAACAGCTGAAGACGTTAAACCACCATCTTTAACTGATGAAACTGGCGCTGCAGCCTACAGTAACAATTCAGTTATTCCGATTTTATGTTATTGTATATTTTATTAATTTTATATTATAAAACGGAGTGTTTCAGTCCTTGATTCTGATTGGTTGAGCCGCGTTTGAAGCCGTTGTAAATTACTCAAACACACACCTGTGACCGCATTACATCAGTATTACTGCGCAACTGCCGTTTGTGACTCTTTGTTGCTGCATGTGTTGCTTAGCAACCTCTTTGGAAGTACATTGCTCGGCGGAGGAATAAATGTGTTATAACGTTATATTTTTTGTTGCTGGTGTTTATTTTATGAATAACTCAGTGTCGTGCCTAACAACACCCCTAAGCTGTACTAAATCCACTGAAAACACGGCTTCAAGGGGGTTATTGCTTTAATTTATATTATTTTTTAAATAATTTTATACTCTGTTTACTTTTGACTATCTTGCCATGAAGACAATGCCGTTAAAAAAATGAGAAACCAATACTTTTGGCCAAAATACTTTGCTTTTAGATGTTTTTTATTTATTTGTTTCACAGTTGTTTACATTTCACTGTAAGTCATTTAGCTTGTGCATTTAAAATACAGATAAGTTGTGGAAGCTTCATATTTTTCTTTTTAAGGAAAGAAAAAAAAAAGAAAAATATGAAGCTCTTTTTTTTTTCATACTTTGTAAACTGCCTTATGTTCTCTTCTGACTCCTAAAGTCACTACCAGGAAATGTAATCTTCGATCATATGGGCAAATCATGTATATTATCCCACGAACGCGAACTGTCTTCGGTGAAAGTGCCTTTAAAGTTTTTGCACCTTTTTTTCCTGGTATAAATTGCAGATTCAGCAAAAATATGACTATTTACCGACAATGAACCAGTTTTAAATTAGGATAAAGGACTATTTAAGTATTAAATGCACATGTGCGGTTACTGAGCACTGCTGGTGATTATGTTGAGATGATGTTAAATTGCCAAATGTCTTTTTCTGTCAAATGTTTGTGTATATATATAAATATATATGGAACTACTATTCTGCTGTCTTGGCTAGGAATCCCTTGGGATTATTTCCTGGTAAAATAAAGGTAAATATAATAAATAAATGCGTCTGCTAAATTATTAAATGTAAATCCCAGTTGCGCAGGTGGGGAATGTTTTAACACAATGTGCCCCTATAATAACTATTCTATACTTTATGAATTCTATTGAGAAACCATGAGAAAGGTGAAGACTGAGATTCAATGTTCAGAAATGATTAATTATTATTATGTTTTGAATTATGCTGTATAAGCTGTGTTTTGCAGTGTGTTTGTTGTGAAACTCAAAAAATGCATTGTCAATTGTTAAAACATGCCATTATTTAATTTGAAAAAGTTAATAATTGTAATTTATTGACAAAATATTTTAGATTGTCTTGTATATTTTTTTATTAGATCAGATTTGTATCTGTCATATAGTCATGTTATAATGTACTCCACCTACGGGGCATGTCGTCACAGTTCACTTCTATTCTTTAGGGGGAAATCAAGAAAAAAAAGTATACACTTTATTAATGAAACAAAACCACATAATTGTGCTAGACGTGTGAACTTAATATGGGGAAAAAAGATTCGGAGAATTATTAAGTGGATTTGCACAAAATGAGAAAGTGTTAGTTTGTTAGAAGTTAGAATTAGTTTATGGAACCTCGAGTCTCAGACCTTTGCAACAATATGAGATTTGTCAAGATTAGAAAAAGGTTTTGGGGGGGGGGGGGAAGTTTTAAAGTACCGTTTCCATGGTAACGCAATGTCCAATTTCAAACTTATTTTAATAGGATGCATTTTTAACGTTTAAGCTTCCAAATGATACCTAATTTATGATTATATAATATTTATGATAATAACTAAAATATGTGATATAGGAAATGGGCAAGTGTAAACACTCTGATCCTATATGCGTTATTATATGTTATAACTTAAACAACTTAGATGTTTTGCCTTAATGTTGCAGAGCCCTGGTTAACCCTGTAAATAAGTTATTAATAATGGCCTCCAGAGGATAGTTGGGGTTAGAGCGCCTGAACTACAGTCCTATAGAGGAAAGCAGCAGCCTAATAAAAAGGGAGACTATAGCACAAAGTATTTATGTTTTGAAAATTCAAATATACCAAACCTAAATGTATTTAAATCCAAATTACATTTGATTGTTTTTTAAAGGCTTTATAAATAAGTATTTTGGATTTCGAATAGGCCTCTGTATTTTAAATACATGTATCTGAAATACTGCCTATATGAATTGACTATTTAAAGACGTTTGCGTAACAACATACTTGCGTCCTAAAAACTAATCCCGCCCATAAGGGAACTGTAATACAGCTAACTTATAATATTGATTATCCAAATATTACACGATTTACTATGGCGGTTTGACTTTGATTACCGGTACTCAAATTATGAAATTTTCCTCAAAATACACATAAGTTCGTTGAGGCTTGTCGTATTTCGCAGATTTTAATAGTCGAATCTGGACTTAAAAATGCGAAAGCAAAATAGGGACGTGAACCGGAACATGTTTTAGGGTCATTCTGTGATGTTGACCAGAGCTCCTCCTCAAGGGATCCTCCGAGAAGAGGTACAAATATGTGGCGGGAGCCATTATAAAAGCTGTATGGTGATGTGACTCAAAGGTGATGTTCATAATAATAAATTCTAGATAGAATAGCAAATGGCATTTTACAGCACCCTAGTGGCAATTTTGGGAACATGCCATGATAGCTTACAGCAACCTATTTTTGTGAAATCATATTCAAAATAACAAAAATACTGCAGGACTTGGGACTTTCAGACCACTGTGGACATCTACTGTATACTTTATTTTTATGAAATAAAGATATTTTATGATATTTACAATATTTAAGTTACACTACACTTGAACAAAAACTTTTTTTATTACATCTATACAGTAATTTTATACAACAGACATTTAATACAAATATATAAATAAAACCTAAATCAATGAATTTACAAGGTTTTAATATGATCAAAATTGAAGTGAGATTTTTAAATCAAAACTTCCAAACTGAATTTTTCGGCTTTCCTTGCAGGCCACAACTTGTTGAGCAATCTTTTTTTTTTGCTAATTGATCAAGTTTTTCCTTGTGTATATGACACACAGCAACACTATAGGCTTTATGCCGAGCGTCACGTGACCAAACCGGAAAACGGGTCTCATTGCATCCGCTTGTCTGAGAAAGTGTTAACGGCCGTAAGAACTAACTACGATATCTATGGATTTTTAAGGTAATCAGCTAACCTACTAAGTTCACTTTGTTATTGGTGTTTAATGCTAATTAAATATCTAAACGTTAGTGTGAAGAAGAACAATTAAAAAACTTTTAAATATCAATCTGCACATGCGAGGGACATTGGTTATGCTCATTTTTGCTGGCTCCTTTTAAGTTATCTTGAGTAAAACTGCAAAAAATTTCATGAAGCGCATACAAAAGACCTGAATCGGAAGCGATGTGATCTGTTTTCCGGCTTGGTCACGTGACGCTCGGCATAAAGCCTATTCAGCCGTGTTTGTGTCATGGTACTACGAAGCCATGTTTTTAGCCTCCTGAGACCACTGAACTTCTCTCAGCTTCTGCGGAGGACACGGCAGTGACAAGAAGCAGTCTGACAAGTGTTTCCACCTGATCAAAAAGACTACGGACTTCTGGACACATCCCTTGCCCTGAAGGATGCTTCACTGCTTCACTGCTTATTATGCTTTGATCTGAACATTGCCAATTGTGTGTTGAGGGATATTTTGGCCAGTTCTGTTGTACCACATTATCATCAACCACCCCTGTTAAGAGGATGTTTTCCAGATTCCTTAGCATCAGCAACCCTTCCTGCTCAAACGTTCTCTGAACTGCATATCCACAACATCAAGCACTTTGTAAACCTCCGTTTTGTAATATTCAGATGGAGATGAATGCACATGTGCACAAGCCTGTCCAGTTAGACGTTTAGGAGGATTACGAGTACGGGGCAGTGCAATTGGAGAGGGAGAGGGAGAGGGAGAGGGAGAGGGAGAGGGAGAGGGAGAGAGAGAGAGAGAGAGAGAGAGAGAGAGAGAGAGAGAGAGAGAGAGAGAGAGAGAGAGAGAGAGAGAGAGAGAGAGAGAGAGAGAGAGAGAGAGAGAGAGAGAGGATTTGGCACATTTCTGATGCTTTGGTGTAGAAAATTTGAAACCTCTCTGAATTTCTTTTATTTGCAACAGCATCCCTCACATAAGCAACAGCAGAAAGCATACCATTAATGTTCTGTGTTTGACTTTTCGGAGAGATTTGTTGAGATTCTCCAATTCTTCTATAGCCTCTAAGGCAAGCAGAAGACCAAGAACTGCATTTCCCTGCTGGAATCTGTCATGTAGTCCATTTGCCCCGTTAGCCGTGCCTGAGCTGCCCGCTGCCACTTCATTCAGAGCGAGCATTACAGACTCATACTGATTCAGCACTGCATGGATAGCACTGGAGCGAACTGCCTATCTTGTGGGACAAAGGGGCCTTATAGTTTGAAAGGACCCTTGAACAGATTTAGCAAATTCCTTGAACAAAGATTTTAATTTACCTGACTGCCCAAACAAAATTCCTAACTCATGAACCCGCTGTAAAGCACTGTGGACAACACGTGAGGCAGTGCAAGCATGCTGTTAATGAGATTTACACAATGGGGAAAGATTTACCACAGTGGATGTATGGGGCAAGCAAGAGGTTGTTCCTTTTTAATGATGGCCTGTGCTCCAGAATACCTGCCAGCCATATTTGCTGCACCATCATACCTGCCCTCGTAATCCAGAAATGGGCAAATTTAAACGAACCAACACATCTTTCACAACCTTTGCAAGATTCTCTCCTGAACCCCACAGATACCTCGTAAAGGCCAATAAACTCTTCA